GGTGATGATCTGTCAAAAGGGCTCTGCCCCAGAGGGTTAAGTGGGCCAATGTCAGACTTTTTTATCTACAATGTTTACAAATAAATATAATTTAAAAGCAGATGTTTACTTTCACCAACTGTTTTGTAGGTTTGAATAATTACAACATTCTGTATTAGCATTAGTCATGATTTTAAATAGTGCCACAGTGTTTCTACAGAGTGCAGCACAGAAAACTATTTTACTTTTGAATAAGTCCAAATGTATCAAACCCCAATCACAGCTTACCTGTGCACTTAACAACGTTTAAATTCTCCAATGTTAAACAATATTAAAACATAAAAACCTTTGTCAAAGTATTATAACAATAAAAGGGATGACTTTTTAAAATTTATGACAACAGCTAATTTGCAATCAAAAGGTGAGTGAGCGTAGCGAACGAACATCAACCTGGAGGCGAGTTAGCGTTGGTGTTTGCCTACATACAATTTCACTTTAAAATGTAGTTTTTCCCTACCGTGAAGGATCTGTGTTATCAGGGAATGTGTTATTTTGAACTAAAAATCTCAAACACTTGCGTTTAATCAAGGGTTGTCGCAAATGCAGTCTGTGTAAGTATTTAGTATATGCTTTGGGAATTTCAACTCATATTTGGGAAATATTTTCTCAGAAGTTTATCACTTAACTGTTTAAGATATAAGTGGTTTACGTTTTGATACTTTTTTTCTGTATGTTTGAGTGAGTATGTCGGCAAACTAAAATTTTGAGAGCGTCAATCGGTGTAGTAGGTCTCTATAAAACTGTCCAATAAGCTACAGCGCGCAGTAGAAACCAAAGTCGACTCATACCATACCATAACTATCCCTGTAGTACTGATGATTCAGAAACATGGGCACTGACCAAAGAACCGAAACCCCTTAATGCTGGGTTAGAGAATGAAGTGCAGAGAAAATATACAGACCCGTTCAAGATGACGAAGGTCGAAATAAAAAAAAACAGAGAGCTAAGAGAAATGTGTTAACACCCAAATATAGTGGTGCTTTACAGAAGTAAAAGGCTTGGATGGGCAGGCTATGCATAAACTTTTAAAAGTATATTCCAAGGAGTACCACACGATAGACGGGAAATACCAAGTTATGACATGCATCCTCAGACTAGCATCTAAATTTTGAAGAGGCAGGGGATAGAAGAGAATGGGAGGCAAGAATCTCATAAGGTTTCAGTGGTCACGGAGGTAAGATAAGGTACGGTAAGTACAAAAGTAGTAGCCTATATGCAATTGGAGGTGGCATGTAGCTACTATACTACACTATCAATCTTAACTCAACTCTCCTGTAAAATGGCGTTTGCCAAGTATGCAATAAATAAATAAATAAATAAAAACCAGTGTGAATCGGTCGCCAATCTCACTTCAAGATTTTTCAAATCGACACAAATGCTGTTTTATGGTAAAATTATCGGATTTAAAATTCATATCGCTATATTATAGGTCTATATTCGGATGGAAGAAATAGGTGGTCTGTTACATTTGTTTATAAGGTAATCGTACCCATTAAACCTGCCAGAATTTTTTCTCTATGTGTGTAAACTAAATGTTCTAAATAATTCCGTTTCAATTGGCAACTCGATTCTCGTACGTAGGACGGGCCACCAGCTCGATATTATTATTTATTGCCTTCTCTGCAAAAATATAAACAAAATAGATGTTGAATATTTGAGGTTTTTAGCATTTTTAACCGATACAAATATTAGACATAAACATAATGTTATATATGGTACCAAAAAGAAACTCTCCTGGTTATATTGGTTGTGGAACCACGCTGATTGATAAAAGAATCACAGAGAAATTGGTGAACATACATATAAAAAAACAACATGCCACAAACAAATTGAGAACCTCCTCCTTTGGGGTTTGGGTTGGTAGTGGGGAAGTTGGTTAAAAAAGTGTTTAATATTAACAGGGCCGTCGCGTGGGTGGGGCGACCAGGGCGACCGCCCTGGGCGCCGCGGTCAGGGGGGCGCTGCGGCAAAAGTAATGCAACAAAATTTAAAAAGTTAGATGCACATAACGTATTTTGGAAAGTTATGTATAACCACGAATACTAGTTCTGTTATTCGTGTGTGTAACTGAATGTTGAATATTACGTTGTATGCCTTTTAGTCCAGGCAAACTAAACAAACTTACATAGGGACCGTTAAAAAAATTGCAAGAAAACGTTTTATGGTTTTATTTTGTAGAGTTGGGTTTGCAGAATGACATACTAAAAGTTGCCAAAAATCGGTGCACGAGAAAACCACTAAAATCACAATTTAAAATGGCGGCTTTTTTCAACATTGGACAAATTAAAAAACATATTTCACATGCATTTGTTATGCACATTTTTCGAGATATTGACTTGGGACCACCGCCTGTATTTATTGAGTGGTTAGTACTTCATTTTGATAGGGAACATGTTTTTGGCCGCCATCTTGGATCCGCCATATTGGACATAGATAATCTTTTTTCAATGTAATGATAGTGTTGTGACGCATCATTACCAACTACATTTTTACACTGATTTCAATGCCGAAATCCGTTTTTAAATATCTTTATTCATTTAGAAGATATATTCAAACGAAAACTCTCCACCATACATTTCTTATGGACGTTTCGTAGTTTGATAATTTTTTTAAAACTATTTTTCTTATATCTCCAGTTCTTATTGACGCTTGTAGTTCGTTCTAGGCTTAAAATATTCAGTAATGTAAGGGCTTTCATTTGAGCTCTTGATCATTAAAATCAGACGAGTTAAAGACCAGCTACAAACCTCAGAACAATATTAAATTTAACTTTTTATAAATATATTTTTATTAAAAGATTTATAACTCGGGTTGTTAATACGTCACCGAGTTCTTTCTGGTCTCAAATTACTCAGTAAATGTTTGGCTTTAATTTTATTGATCATTAAACAAAATCTGACAATTTTAAAATGAGTCATGGGCCATAATTTAACATTAAAATGTATTTATTTTGAAATTTGTCTTTAGTTAAGGACATATACCCCAAACCCTAATAACTCCCGGAAAGTAATCCATAGCTAAAATAAAAGTCAATAATTTGGCGAATTATTTAAGACTATAAAGAGTTTTGGGAGTTATTTATAATTGGGGATATACGTCTTTAACTAAAGACAAATTTCAATATAAATACATTTTAATGTTAAATTATGGTCCATGACTCATTTTAAAATTGTCAGATTTTGCTTAATGATCAATTAAACTAAAGCAAATTATTTACTGAGTAATTTGAGACCAGAAATAACTTAGTGACGTACTAACAACCCGAGTTATAAATCTTTTAATAAAAATATATTTCTAAAAAGTAAAATTTAATATTGTTCTGAGGTTCGTAGCTAGTCTTTAACTCGTCTGATTTTAATGATCAAGAGCTCAAATGAAAGCCCTAACATTACTGAATATTTTAAGCCTAGAACGAACTACAAGCGTCAATAAGAACTGGAGATATAAGAAAAATAGTTTTAAAAAAATTATCAAAACTACGAAACGTCCATAAGAAATGTATGGTGGAGAATTTTCGTTTGAATATATCTTCTAAATGAATAAAGATATTTAAAAACGGATTTCGGCATTGAAATCAGTGTAAAAATGTAGTTGGTAATGATGCGTCACAACACTATCATTACATTGAAAAAAGATTATCTATGTCCAATATGGCGGATCCAAGATGGCGTCCAAAAACATGTTCCCTATCAAAATGAAGTACTAACCACTCAATAAATACAGGCGGTGGTCCCAAGTCAATATCTCGAAAAATGTGCATAACAAATGCATGTGAAATATGTTTTTTTAATTTGTCCAATGTTGAAAAAAGCCGCCATTTTAAATTGTGATTTTAGTGGTTTTCTCGTGCACCGATTTTCGGCAACTTTTAGTATGTCATTCTGCAAACCCAACTCTACAAAATAAAACCATAAAACGTTTTCTTGCAATTTTTGTAAGGTCATATCCTATATTTACCCGACTATTTATTGAACAAATACATATTATTTGATACCAATCACTTTATAATTTGCAATGTTTTCCAAATTAATTATCAATATAGTATTGAATTAAATTTAGTAATAATAGCTTAAACAATCAACTCCACTGTGGAGTTGAAGGCTCTGTCCCAACTTAATTATCTTAATACATTGCAATGTCTTAATAATTAAGATATAGCAACATTGCAATATTAAGATAATTATTATCTTAACATTGCAATATTAAGATAATTATTATCTTAATATTGCAATGTTGCAGTTTGCGGTGTTGCTCTGTACACGTAGCTGCCGTATTCTATTTTTATTTCGCCCGACCAGCCGACGGTCGACCTTGGGAACCACCCCTACCCCAATCACTCCTTTCTCCTACAGCAGTCTCAGCTGAGCTGCCAGCTTAGTTTGATGAATGATTAAGAGCTATTTACATTTAATGTTTAGGATCTCATATCTAAATGTGATAACGTGGTTTTCTTTTATTCTGTATAAAAGTTCTATTCAGAGTAGGTTTGGTTTGAGGTTTTGCATACATTGCATCAATTTCAATTTGCTCTGTATTAATCAATAACATATACAATGTAGTACTTTTTATACATTTTAACATTTTCAGCAACATTAATTGGGATTTGGTTATCATCAATTAAAACAGATTTTCATACAAAATTAAATAGGTAGGTAATTTATCCCTAATAATCAATCGCTGATTCCTGACTCTAAAATTTTTGAATTGTTTGGTGATTCAATTCCTTTAGGTATTTGTTTTTGGGGATTAAAACAAAGATTACGACATCATCACTCATTGTGTGTTGGGGGGGGGGGGGGGCTGGCAACACCCCGCCCCGGGCGCCAAAAAACCACGCGACGGCCCTGAGTATTAAGTGAGAATAAAAATTCTTATAACTATTTACTTGTAAGTCACTCAGATACAAAACAACATACTGTATTAAAATTATTTTAAATGCTAAATATTTTTTCTTCATGTACCTTAATTTGGTTTTGCGTGGAAAGGATTTTCACATGTATATTTGTAGTGCACTTACAAGGTCTATCTTCAATATCCAAACCGTATGTACTGTACCTTGATGTTTTTTTTGTAGTGCACTTTTAAGTTCTCCCCCCGGTATGAACCAATGAATGTCTCTTCAATTCCCATTCAGTTGTAAAGTGTTTTTCACATATAGTGCACTTATAACGTATCTCCCCTGGGTGAACCCTTGCAATATGATTTATCATAACATAATTACGTGCAAAGGATTTTTCACAAAAAGTGCACTTAAAAGGCTTCTCTCTTGTATGAATCAAAGTATGTTTCTTCAAATGGCCTTTGGTGTTCAATGATTTTTCACAAAAAGTGCACTTAAAAGGCTTCTCTCTTGTATGAATCAAAGTATGTTTCTTCAAATGGCCTTTGGTGTTCAATGATTTTTCACATAAAGTGCACTTATAAGGTCTCTCCCCTGTATGAACCAATGAATGTTGCTTCAATTCCCATTTGGTTGTAAAGTTTTTTTCACAAATAGTGCACTTATAACGTCTCTCCCCTGTATGAACCCTCGAAATATGTTTCATCATAAGAGTATTATATGCAAAGGATTTTTCACAAAAAGTGCACTTGTGAGGTCTATCCCCTGTATGAACCAATGTGTGTTTCTTCATATTTCCTTTTAATGAAAAGAACTTTCCGCATGTAGCACACTCGTAAGGTCTCTTTCCTGTATGAACCAATGAATGTCTCTGCAATTTATTTTTGGTTGTAAAGGATTTTTCACATGAAGTGCACTTATAAGGTCTCTCTCCTGTATGAACCAATGAATGTGTCTTCATGTTGATTTTGTTTGCAAAGGATTTTCCACATGTAGAGCACTTGTAAGGTCTCTCTCCTGTATGAACCAATAAATGCCTCTTTACATGCTGCTGTCTGAAAAAAGTTTTTTCACATATCAAACATTTGAAGGGACGCTCTCCTGTGTGATATAATATATGAACCTTCATTGCGGATAGAGTTGAACAGCATTGCACACATATTGGACACTTGAGAGGAAAATGTTTAGTCTGAGTTAACATTTCTACTCCTGCACTTTTTATTTCCGTGTAACTTATCACATAAATCTAGTAACTAATCAATAAACTCAACAAATCAGATGGATTTGAATACATTCTATAAAGTAACCTTGTTTGAAGGACTTGTTAAATGTATAGCAATTACATGATAGACTTCATCTCTCATTCAACATTGTATCGTCTTGTAGTCAAATCTTGCTATGCACAGGGATTTGCCTTTTCTCTTATTTTTCTATATTCTTCTATTGTATTATATTAATTCTTAAATCAATATAATCTGTTTTAATTCCTTTTACTGTCTCAACCTACAAAAAAAAAATGGTATATATAATTTATATTCTAGTATAAACAAATTAATTACTAAATTTAATTTGTGAGGGAGAAAAACATCGTTAAGAGTGATTCCTCAAATTATTACTTCAGGGATAGCCTTAATTAGTTTTCTTTTGCTTAAATTAGATTATCTTTTCTTATGTCTGTAGTCATATATCTTCAATTCTGAAAAATATCATACCTTATTAAAAACACGTAACCTATTAATCTGTTGATGCCATTCTTTTGCAATATTTTGTACTCTCGAACAAAGAATATATGACTATGAGTATCACTATGAAATATTACAATAATTTCTACGAGTTCAAGAATATCATAATGATAAAAAATCAGGGAACCCTCCACCCCACCCCTCTAGAGTAAATAGATTTATCTTAGGCTGCCAAGCACAAGATTGAAAATAAAATTCCGCTAATAAATAGAAACCCCTCAAATCCAAACAACCTGTTGCGGGAATAACTTTGCTGTATTTAAAACTAGCAGAATGCCTGTCTTTTGTTCGAGGTTGGCGTATAAGTATAAAATGCTTATTGCAGTTATACTCGTGCTTTGCATTTGCAATGGGAGAGGACACGGTTTGAGAAAATTTGGTTCTTTTAATTTACGGTACTGTATGCTATAACCTACAGACCTCTTGACTATTAATACGACTTCAGTATCCAATAGTCAATGGTACAACACATCTACCATAGCCATAATGTTCTACTACTACACCTTAACAATAAAAAAGTAAATTATAGAATATTCACATAATATAACAAAAATATTAATAAATTAAATACTCTCGCCGCAGAAAACCTGCAGACTAAGCGAATTTCCATTTACCTGGCTGGATTCCTACTAAAATATTCCCTAAAAATTTACAGATTTATTTCCTATTTAATTGACATTAGTTTTGGTGAGTACTGTACTTAGGTTTTCTGCTACAGGGAAGATATTGAAATGTGTTTTTTTTTATTGCAATGTTGATAGCTTAGTATTAAATAAACAAAATTTCAAAATTTGCTTTAAATATATCCATAAACAAGCAAACTATAACAGTTTATTTATTCTACATAAGAATAACATGAGAATTTTAAATTTACAATTTTTTAAATTATCTCCGTAACCGTTGGGCATACAACAACGCTTCAATATACAATATTTCTTTTTAAGCTCTACAAAATGGTTTGGAGAGGTATTATAAAATTTTGTGTTTTTAGGATGGAAAACGGGAAAATATTAATTTTTACCCAATAAACCCCCCCATAAACCCCCGTTACCATAGTCCGATTATGCTGGTTCGCAAACTCGTTCGAATAAATGTAGGTTTACACGTTTATACCAAATTTCATCAAAATCGGATGATTTTTGCTTGAGTTATTGCGCTAACGGACACACACACACACACATTATAAATATGAATTTGAACGGATGGTGTTTTTGGCCTCTGGGAACCTTAAAACGAAAAAGTAAATCGGTCCCGGGTCTAGGCCTTACCATGAGACCTGCGGTAATAATAGCTTATTCCCTATATAGGAAATTCGCTAAAACATAAACTTAACTGTAAACAATCCTACTTTGACGGTTATTACAGTAGACTCCCAATTATCCGGACTCCTAGGGACCGAGGCCAGTCCGGATAATGTTTTTCCGGTTAAACCGACATCCCCAAAAACTAGTTAAAATGGACCATTTAAATGCATACTGTATACATTTTTTTTACTTAAATTTAGGAGAGCATTGTATTTAGACAAGTCTCAAACCTTTAACTGGTCCTTTAACCTTTAACTTTTAACTGGTCTCAAATCTTTCCCACGAGAACAGTCATTTCAATACTGCCCATATCTTGACAATCTAGTCCAGTTAAACTGATGTGCTGATAAAAATTGTCCGGTTAAAGAGATGTCATTTCCGCCGAGTGTAGTCTGGTTAAACCGTTGTCCGGTTAAAAGGTGTTCGGATAAGAGGGAGTCTACTGTATTGTATATTACAGCTTTTTGTTGCTGCTTGGTTCAAATTAGCTGTTGTCAAAAATGCAAAAAAATTCATGGTGCTGCAACCATTTGATAAACCTTATTAGACCACTAGTTCACCGGTGCTTGGTGATCGGTAGCACCACCGCTCCAAAACAATTATGACAAAAATATGCTTAGCGTATTAAATATATAGATATTTTACACAACTAAGTGGTAGGTTTATTTATGTCATTGATTATAAAAATAAAGAAAGATTCTATAACTGTAAGTTATGAAAATTATGTTATTGATATATATATTAATGTAAACAGTAGGACAATTACAAAGTAGATCATACTTTTTTTGTAAATTTGGTGGCTTTTTGTTTATAAATTCGAACTAATTAACAAGTGTTTGGATTAGGCGGTATAGTACATCTTCCCGTTGCGAAGCACAGGTTCAGCAGCTAGTTTGAAATAAAGTTAAAACGGGTGATACAAAGGATAAATTGGGAAAATTAGTTTATATGAAAAATAATCCTTAGAATTTTGAATATATTACAATATTGTTCTTGATGTAGCCTAATTAGTTTCAGTAATTCAGAGTTAATAATGGGACCGTCTCTATTATTTAGCAAAATAATTTTGGTCACTTTTTTCCATAAAATAAAATTCTTACGCATTAGTCTTCCAAACCACAACCTTAGACCATAGATAAAACCTACTCCACTAGTAGATTTCTCATACTTATGGAACAGCTGAATGGCCAAAGACAATTTTATTGTTAGTTCTTTACGGTGTACTGCTAAGGTTGTGTTTTGTTTGCAATTTGTTTCTTGTTATTTCAGTAATTTAAAACCTTGTTTAACCAAATAATAGATCTAATCATAAACTATAACTCCTCCCCTAGTTATATAACCAAACAGTAAAGCACAAATCAAGAAATTAACCTTAAAAAAATAGAAACAAAATTTTGTCAACACTAGTGCCCAGTGTACATGAACTAGACACGAAAAACGAGCTTCAAAATTTACAATGGAAAGAGAAGTCTCCTTGTGTTAGTCTATGTTTAGTTAGACTGGCTGGTTGAAAATCCTCTAGACCCCTATAGGCTACACAAATTTAATGATTTCTTTGAAACTGTTGTTAGCTAAGTAAGCCTTCAACTTGAATGGGCTGTGTGTTTCCTGATTTTGCATAGTGCATGCAATTTTGTGTGAACTGCATGGTTTGCTTTGTATTATTTTGTGCATGGGTTTTCTTCATTTTTTGTAGATGGTTTGTTACGATTGACTTTTGCTTGGTTTGATTATTTAAGACTTAATTCATTTTATGCTTGCAAGTACACTGCACGATATAGCCTATAACAATGTATTGTTGATAGCGTTAGTAGGCTCACGAAGTATTCAATCACCAAGTTTAATCCTGATAAAACTCAGAAGCCTTTTTATGGCTTGAAACTGAAATCAATGTCCTTATAGGCCTAACCATTGGGCTTTTAACAAAATGGTCCTGGCTAAAGAACCGGCTCATGGCTGATCTTACTCAATACAAAGCTACACAGATCCGTTCTTACCTCACCCTGCATATTCAGCTTAAACACGTAGGCTAAACAAAGTAGGTCTCTATTTTGTAGAGTGATTAAATGATCAAATGCAAACTAACCGATAAAAGATCCACCTGATCTCGAACAGCAACAAAGCAGTTGTTTAACTACAGTATCCAATAATCTTTAACAGCCCTTCAATTATTTTACCTTAGCCTCAAAACATGTCTCTTTGTATGTCTAGGGGATGTTTGGATATAATAAAGCCTAGGCTACTTACCAATTGAATAAGTCTACATAGCTTTTGTGACTGTTGCAGGTACCGTACAGAATATTCTATATTCCTACCTCTGCTTCTTTCAGCCTTGTTAGCAGTGTGATAGCCACTTGGTTTGGTACCTCTACCTCTATCTCTATCTTCACTGGTGCAGTCATTAACTTAAGAGTATTTCCATACGCAGGATTATTACTTATACTGGAAACAGGAGTTTTAGACCATCAGCGGCATTTTAGTAACGGTAGGTAGACTTCCGTATCTGTTGGCACAAACAACCGAATGAAAATTTCAATTGATATATCGAACGAAACAATCAAATAATCAATATTCTCATTCAGTTGTTTGTGCCAACAGATATAAAAGTCTACCCGAAACGGCCCACACAGGATGCAGAATAAAACGGGATTTTCAGCTCTTAACGTCTGTTTTTATTGGTAGCGGTAACTAAGTTAAAGAACTAACTTAGCACGATATATCAAATTAAGGCCGTTTGGCCGCCAGGCTAGTCTGAAGGTGAGGAGGTGTAGTTCTACAAGTCGCCGCCGCTCGCGCTTGGATGTCCGTTTGGTGGTAGCGTTACATGTGTGTGTTTCGTTTGAGCTGTCGGGGGAGGGGTTTTGCGAGCGTGCCCATCCTCACACAACACACTTCATTCATCACTGTATATCGAGTTTTCGTATACGAGAGGCTCGACACGGCCCGTTGTAACCGCGGTCCAGGCTAGCAAGGCACTCACTGTTACAGTAAAACATATGTAATAGAATTGAGTAGTAGTAGTAAAGTATCATTACCTAATTAATTTTTGCTTTGACACGCAATTTGTAACAGCTAAGAGTAATCATCATACTTCCTACTAATATTATAAATGATAAAGTTTATATGTATCCATGTTTGCGACAAGTATAAGTGAAAAATACTGGTTGGATTGTTATTTATTTACCCAAATATATGTATCACACTGAGTTTATTATTATGTCGTTGGTAAAAAATTATTTATCTCCAGAATAATGTCGATGAAATATTACATAGCCATTACTTAAAACAAAGGAATAACATTATTGTTGCCTTTT